TTCTTCGGCGTCGCCCTCTTCTGCGGCTGTGGCCACGAGGCCCTCACGGGCACTGAGCAGCTCATCGAGACCTACTTCTCCAAGAACTACCAGGACTATGAGTATCTCATCGACGTGTGAGTACCCCGCTCTCACACGGCGCCCGGGCAGCACCCATACGGAACCATGGCACCCACGCAGCACCCTTGCATTGCCCTGGTTCTAGTGCATTGGCCCTCTGCCCCTCCATGCAGCAACCTTGCACCCATGCATTGCCCTTGCACCCTGTGCATCGTCTTTGCACCCAGGCATCAACGTTGCAGCCATGCATTGCGCTTGCATCCTGTGCATCATCCTTGCAACACATACAACCCATGGACCCATGCATTGCCCTTGCACCCATGCATTGCCCTTGCACCCTGTGCATCGTCCTTGCAACACACATAACCCATGCACCAATGCGTTGCCTTTGCACACATTCATTGCCCTTGCACCCATGCATTGCCCTTGCACCCTGTGCATCGTCCTTGCAACACACATAACCCATGCACCAATGCGTTGCCTTTGCACACATTCATTGCCCTTGCACCCATGAATTGCCCTTGCACCCTGTGCATTGTATTTGCACCCACACATCACCCTTGTACCCACACATTGCCCTGGCACCCATGCATTGCCCTTGCACCCCCATGTATCACCCTTGCACCCTCACGTTGCCTGTGCGTCACCCTTGTGCCCTCCTGTCCCCCCTGGCAGCATCCACCCCCTTCAGTACTTCATCTACGGCACGGCCTCCTTCTTCTTCCTCTATGGAGCCCTGCTGCTGGCCGAAGGCTTCTACACCACGGGCGCCGTGCGGCAAATCTTGGGCGACTACAAGACCACGCTGTGCGGCAGGGGGCTCAGCGCAACGGTAACCGGGGGCCCGAAGGGGAGGGGGGCGCGAGGCCCCCCGCGCGCTCCCTCGCTGCAGCGAGTGTGCCAGTGTTTGGGAAAGTGGCTGGGACATCCTGACAAGGTGATCTTAACCGGGGTTCGGCACCCC